GCAAACAGCACAGCTTGAAGGTCAAGACTTGACCTTGTAAAAGCAGCAGGGCGCGAGCCCCAGAAGGAACATTTTAATTGAAAAACACGATGGGCACAGGAGGGGGATCGACAAAATAAGAATTCTATAGTATTAGAAGTTCAAACGCGTTAAGACTACTCGATCTGATCGGCTCGCACGCCATTCAACACATATATTCCAAGCCCTCGATACCCTCACTGTTCGTCTTCGACAAAATCCCCTTGGGGGTATATCTTCCCTACCTGCTACGTGTAGTTGGCGCAGCCCCTAAAACAAGGGAGGGAAGGGAGTGAAGAGACCTGGAGAGGGAAGAGGGAGCCCGAGAGAGATTTGCAGGAGGGGGGCTAGGAGCAGGAGTGCAAGCGGCAGAACCAGACTGGCGGGTCGGGCGGGCGGACCCTAACGGGCAGGTCGGGCGGGCGAGACCAAACGGCCGGGTCGAGCGGGCGGGCCGCTGAAGCGTCGTGAGGAATTCCCAAAAGAGCGCGTGATTCCTGTGTTACGAGCACGGCACGGCAATAATTTGTGAGGAAGTACCACGCGAGAGCACGATTCCTGCATAAACTATGACGAGCTCCCGCGCGAGAGCGCGATTGTGAAATGGAATTGTGAGGCAGTCCCAGGTGAGAGCCACTGTTGTTGCAAACCGGGGGCAAACAACACAGTTTGAGGACTAAGAGTTGCCACTGTGAGAAAGGAGGTGCGAGCCCCGGGAGGAGCACTTCAGTTGAAAAACACGATGTGCACCGCAGGAGGTTAGATCAACAATATTTACTTTTGAAGCTGAACGCTCAATCGTGTTAAGACTGATCGCTCTTGTCTGGTCGCGTGCCACTCAACATGTGCATCCCAAACTCTCGATACCCGCCCTCTTCGTCCTCGGTCGTGCCCCCGTGGGGGTACGTAGATCTTCCTTACCTGCCACGTGTAGTTGGCGCAGCCCTAAAACGGCGAAGGTAAGGGAGCAGGGAAGAGACAAGGGCGAGGGAGAAGGATGGAGCACGAGCGGGCGGGTCGCTGAAGCGTGAATCCAACATGAATCGCGGGGAAGTTTCGAGCGATAGCGCGATTCCCGAGTAAATGGTGAGGAATTTCCACAAAAGAGCGTGGTTCCTGTGCGGGGGCACGGCGCCGCAATAGATTGTGAGGAGGCACCACGCGAGAGCTCGATTCCTGCACAAATCATGACGAGCTCCCGCGCGAGAGCGCGATCATGAAATGAAACTGCGAGGACGTATCAGGCGGGAGCCGCTGTTGTTGTAAACTGGGGGCCAACAACACAGTTTGAGGACCAAGACTTGCCCTTCTAAAAAATAGGGTGCGAGCCCCGGGAGGAGCACTTCAGTTGAAAACACGATGGGCACCTGAGGGTGAGATCAACAATGGAAATTCTTTCA